GCTTGGGACCGGACTTTAGAGTGCATTTATAGAGGGTGTGCACTTATAGAAGTGCACTTAGAGAGGTCTGACTGTATAAAGGAGGCACTCTTATAGGTAATTAAAAAGGGCCATTATGTGGCATACACTTATTTGCGCAAGTGATACAAATCCAAAAATGGAAAATTTTCTATGTAGATCTCAAGATCAGGTGCAATCTTTGTGTATATAAGATCGAAGGCTTTTTCATAACATCACTTTTACGTTCTAATAAAAAAATTCCTGGCCAAATTTTACTATATGACTCTTTTTATATCAACATTAACCCTAACTTTAATGCTGGTCAAAATTTCACGTGCTTTTAGCAAAATAACAACAAACGAATATTTACCATTGGCACGTGATTTGTATCACTTGCGCAAATAAGTAAACCGGTATTATGTGAACCACAGAAAATCATCGGCATTTAGGACTTAATGGCTGATTGTGTAATGTAATACAACGCATATATTTAGAAATTATGCACATGGATCTCTGTATTATAAGACACGTATGAAAGTCGCGTAATATAAAAAGTGAGTAGCTTGTATTTTTTGTTTTTTTTGTTTTAAACACTATTACCAATAAAATGTCTAAAACTTTACTTAATATCATCAACAAATGGAATACCGACAAATTATTAGACTTTTTGAGAAGTCAAGAATTAAACCTCGAAGAAGAAGATTTCTTACTTCTAAGAAATCAAAAAATTTCGGGTTTGAGTTTTCCTTTACTAAGTAAAAAAGATCTGCTTTGATGTCAGCTAAAAGTTGGTCCTGTTGTAGTGCTTTCAAATTTGATAATGGAGATTAATACTAGTATGTATATATTCGATGTACTGTTAGTTTATATATTTATTATACAATGTTTTTAACACCTTTTTGTAGGGAAGCTTCCAAATAAAAAAATAATTCCCGTAATTCAAGATATAGAAAACTTTAAATGGATGTACTCTAGATATTTTTTCATCATTCCTTTCGAAGAATGGTCATTCGATCATTTTGAAAGATGGGTTTTGCAAAATTATACTGTACCGAAAAAAGAAGTTTATTCTCGATGTTTTTTTAACATTATTCGGAAAATAAAAGAAGATTTTAGGACTTTAGAAAAGATCAAAGAAATAGTGTCAATTTTGGATAAAAAGGTAAGAATATGTTTTTTTTTTTTTTTTATCAAACCACACCTATTAAGATGATGAAGAATCATCGGATATCTTAAAATGTTTGCTACTGATGGGGCTTGCTCACGTCAGGCTACCCTTTACTGGGTATAGATATGTTTCATCTATCCCAGTGAAGGTGAGGATCGGTCCTCGTCATATGAGTAGAGAATCTTGCGTGTGTTTGCTTTTGGACTGTCATAGCATTTAGGTTAGGATGAGGCTACTCCTTGTTAAACAATATTGAACACATTGATGTCATATGGGGCTTTATTTGGACTGATAATGCAGAAATATTAGTTATATTGCTGGCCACATTTTGAACTATGTTTTCGGATTTTAACAAGGGGAGCTACGTCCTCAAAAGATAGCCAAATCGGTGCATATTTTTCTGGCCACGTCCCAGTAGTATGTATCCGATCATCCTTACCTTGTTTTTAGATAACTGGTATACCTAATAAGAGAAACTGAAATAGACGGAACTTAATATACCTAGCTGTTATTTTTTGAACAATTGCTAACTTAATTTATTTTTCATATAGTTAGACATCATAGATGATAACTCCGTTGATAACTCTGTTCATAATATCTGCATATAAATCAATGTTGAAGGGCAACATCTTACCATTTGTTGGTCTAATTTTAAGTCCAAATCTTTCGTACTAAGTCTATATCAAGCTCTCTTGATCAATCGAACTTTCGAACACTTTATAAATGATCGATCAAAAAGCTTTCACTAATCAACCAATTTTAGGCCAAAGTTGATTAAAAAAAATAAAAAAAAATAATAACTAGCTTCATACGAGTTACTACGTACGTACTAGTGATGCTGACAATACTCTTGACAAAACCTGATAAAAATATAAACTAGCTACGTAATAGGTTTATACTGTTTATATTTTTAACGC